CTGAAAACGAAAAAAAATCTTTTTATGAGCCCAAAAAACATAAAGGAAAATATATTAAAATGTATCGCTAGGCTTAATATCTCTTGACTATATCTATTGAGAAATTCCAAAGCACTTGCTATATATAATAAGTGAATTTATKTAAGAACAAAACCCTTTTTAAAGGTTTCAAGCTTGCGTCAGTCTGAAGAAATTGAAGACTCAGAATACAGCCGATACAAGATGTAAGTTTACCATAATTTTTTGCGAAGACAAAAGATTATATATACCAAAATATGGGAATTTYGATACATTTTGTCATTATATGATTAATATTTATTATATTGTGTATATCATTTCAGATATCAAAAATGCATTTGTAATGTTTTCTCCGAAACGAATGTGGATTTGCCAAGCAAGCAGTTGGGAACAAAAGCTAAGATGGACTTCAATTATWGAAAGTACCATAGCAAGCGCTTTATGACACAATTGATAATATTGCTAAATATCTTCCGTTAGGAGACTTCCTTGTTTATAGTTGTTTATTGAAAGACATTTGGAAGAAAGATAAGAGGGTAGTTTACTAAATTGATTTTCCTGAGTTTTTTTTCATTTTGAACGATTTCAAAGTTTCTATTTTTATAACATTTTACAAATCTGTGATGACTTAGTAGTTCGAGAAATTACATCAAATGTAAATGTAAATATTAATTATTAAATGATTACTTTCAGTTTTGCATGTAAAGTTATGCCAAAAATATGAATATCGCGTGTTAATTCTTTTAAAGCTTTTATACTTTTCCATCGAAAATATAAGGCTCGTTGTCACAATTACTCGTGTTTGTATCGCATRAAGATATAGTTTTTCAAATATGTTATTATACTAAATACCAATTATTATTTTTTTAACGTAATGGCCTTTTTTAATTTTTTTGGATTCCTCTTACGATTTTTTTGTGCCATCTCTTGAATAAATTTGATATTTTGCAAGGCGGCCATTTTGAAACCATATTCTTCTTGAAAGAAATTATGGGATGTRTAGTGAGGGTTTTTGTGGGATTCATGCGCATAATCTTGAACATAGAGAGATGAATATGTTTTTAAAGTTGTTATAGAGTGCTAAATTTGAGTATATATTAGTAATCTTTAAAATGTCTTGACTCATGTAGTCACTCTATGGAAGTTGTATTTCGTAAATCGCACATATATAATTGCAAACAACACTGTTTTCTGGGAGGGGAGGGGAGGGGAGGGGAGGGGAAGGGAGGAGATTGAGAGAGCTTTTTATTTGTTTAGGTCTTTAATTTCAATCTTTTGTAGTCCAAGATTGCACGTGTCCGGGAATTCCTATTATTAATTTGAAAACTTTTTAGTGTTTACATCCTGTTGACTGAAAAATAAACTAACTTTTGTTTAAAAGTGGAGGAGATCGATCAAATTGAGATCATGGCGCCAATGTTCTGACATTCTTACAATTTTTTCTGCCTCTTTATAATATTAAGATTGTTTTCAAAGTAACGCCCACTGCTCTGAAATCAAAAGCCAACGACTTATTTTAATTGAGCCAGAGCTCAATACGGGCTTTTAGATTGATTTTATGAGCAGCAAAATATCGTGAAAAAAATCCTACCAAACTCATAATGCTCGAATTATAAAAGAGAAAAATTGGCTATATTATGCAGGGTTAGAAAATATCTATCTATACAGGACGCTAATAATTATAATGCTTTAGCCTTATTTATATACAAATAAAACAACAACATTGTTATAATAGAGGATATTACATGAGCGCGTAGAGATACGGTTTTTATCTTCGAGTTGAAAAGAGTGCTTAAACRATGTCCTTTTGAGGGAAACAATTGTACAAAAAGATAAATTCTAACACCGTAAAAAAGTAGTTAAAACGAMTTGTTGACGTTTTGGACTTTAATGCCACGTCGGAGCAGATTTATATACTTGTTTACAACTAGTTTCCACCGTCTTTTGAAGGAAAACTTTCGAGGGCAGTCTCTCTGAACAAGACACTCATGTACTTTTTAGGCCTAGATGTATCAAGGCTACATCTTTTTAGGTCCAGCCCACGATCATTTGGCACAGGTTAATAGAGAATTGAATAGTGTTTTCTAGAACAAGCTTTAATTAAAATGTTATACCTTGCGAGTCTGAAATTAAAACATTACTAACAGAGTTTGAAATCTCCCCCGTCCTTCTGGGAAAAACACCTCTCCTATTACAAAACAAAAATAGATATAAGTATAAATATACAGATAAAAAGATTTCCTTCAATCCCTAAATCAGTAATGTATAGTCTTGGGCGTTTTCCCATACTTAAATTCTATTTTTGCTTTTTTTTTTTCGTTCCACCTGTTTCTATTCGCTTTGTTATTGACTTTTTCATATTGAATCAATCGCGGTCTGCAGCAAGCTTATTACTTATCAAACCTCTTCTTATTCCATCGCGGCAKGATTCATATCGTTTGTTCAGTATCTTAAGTGTTAGCACAAATTGACAATGACTAATTTCAATGAAAAAAAGTTGGCGACATTAAAAMGTTGAATGACAAAACATAGACGCGTTTGATCTGTTTGTGCAGCCGTATGCAGTGATCGTTTGATTGCGTTAGTTTGTTCAACTTTTATTCTTGTTTTACGATCTAAATTAATCATCCTATAATATATTTAATATTTTTCTTTAGTAACTTTGATGTTATTTGTAATTAAAAGCAGACAAACATATCAGAATTTTTAATTTGTTTTTATCTGTTTATTATTTCATGCACACATTACCAATTTCGTTTTTTTATGTTAGTACAGTTAAAGATATTATTTAAACAAAGAAAAAAATAAATAAATGTGTCACGAGAGCCTTTTCGGACGAAAAGAAAAACATACCGAAAACAATTCAAATTATGAAAGAGCTTATMTTGGAATTATGCAACGTAATTACAACCTTTAGCAATAAGTCGAACTTGTGAATATTATTGAAAAATGTCATTTCTTTGATAGAAATGTCATTCAATGTTTACAAAGAACATTGGCGGCCTGGTGGTTTGTTAACAAAAAACTTCCCTATAAATATCACTTTGCTAATCGCTCCAGGACATCCATTTGCTGAAGCTGAAATTGCCAGATTGGTGGAGTTTTCTTTTCCGTTTTCAAATAATTGAATTAATTTAGTGAACAGATATATAAAAGGCTTCATTTCCGAAAAAAGAAGATTTTCCAATWTCGCTTGGTGTTGTCRCAAGYGTGTCTCAGCACTGAAGATGGCAGACTGTTCGAACTATGGTCCACCRACTTATCTTTCGTWCTTCACARCAACTGTTTCKCTGTGCTTATGTTTGATCACAACACCCGGAAATTTGCTAATCTGTTATGCTATCATCAAAGATCCCTTCAATGAGCTGCGAACTCCTTTYAACTACCTTATCCTAAGTCTTGCACTGACTGACTTGCTGGTGGGAGTCCTCATGGACCCGATCTCTTTCATCTTCCATCTAACCGAGGGCTTGCCGAGCGAAAGGCTGGTAGAYATWCGTCTTCTCCATATGYTGTACTTCATCCTTTCTACAGCTTCGATTTTGACCCTAGCTGCTCTTACCATCGATCGCTATATTGCAGTTGTGCACCCGGTGAAATACAAAAGCATTACTGCAAAACGATCCATGATTGTGTCAGCTTTAATATGGGTAATGTCCCTGGC